AGTCATTACGAATGTAAGGAATGTGGAAAATACTTTCAGCGGTCTTCATACCTTAATGCTCACGTTCAAATTCACACTGCAATAAAACCCTTCAAACTTAAGGAATGTGGGAAAGCCTTTATTCAGTTTTTTGAACTTACTGAATCTGCAAACACTCAATGTGGAGAGAAGCCTTTTAAATGTGACACATGTGGGGCCGGCCCCATGGCTTAGCGGTTAAGTGTGCGCTCCGCTGCTGGTGGCCTGGGTTCGGATCCCGGGTGCTCACCGACGCACCGCTTCTCTGGCCATGCTGAGGCCGTGTCCCACATACAGCAACTAGAAGGATGTGCAGCTATGACATAGAACTATCTACTGGGGCTTTGGGGGGAAAAATAAATAAATAAATAAATCTTTAAAAAAAAAAAAAATATTAGCATATTAAATCCAGTAATATATAAAGAAAAGAACAATACATGATGACCAAGTAGGATGTATCCAAAGAGAGTAAGGTTGGCATAATATTCCAAAATCAATCGATGTAATTCACAGAATAAAAGAGAAAAGATGATCATTTCAGTATATGCAAACAAAAGCATTTAACAAAAAATTCAACATTCATTCATGATTTTAAAAATTCAAGCATTTTGTACTTTTCAGGATTACTGGTGTTTTTTTCTATATAATTACTGGCATTTATGCCTGAATTTTTCCTCCTGCAATTGTTTTTATCATCATATATTATTTATTCCCAGTGTATTAAACTAGACCTCCTGCAGCAAGACAGACAGATTTTATTCAATTTAAGCTCAGAAATGAAATGAATGTCCCTTCTAAATGAGACCTGCACAAAATGTTGAATACTAAACCAATAATGAGCTATTGATTATGTAATATAAACTGTCTTAATCTACTAGACTACAATCATTCATTAAATGGGTAAATATTTATTAAATACTGTTATGTGCTAGGTGCTAAGAGTATAATGATCCTAACCCTGCTTTCAAGGAGCCTAGTCTAGTGGCCCAGGACGTAGACAAATAAATAATTACAACACTGAATACTAAGTGCTAGCCTATAAAAGAAATAGATACAAAGAGTAGTTGGAACAAGGATAAGAAACTAACTGGTTCTGCTTGGAGGGACTGGGAAATTTCTTAATTTTCACAAACAATTCAAGCAAACCCATTTACCAAGCAAAGCTTCCCTAATCTCTTTAAGAACAAAAATTAAGCCTTTAATGGCTTCTCAACATACCAATACCACTTCCCTGAGGCTACAGCCACATAAAAACCTTATGAAATTCACACACACAAAACAGACTTTCAGTTTGGGAAATTAAAGCAAAAGTATTCTTTGGGAGCGGCTGAGGTTTTGATAATTGGTAAAATCTGTAGTCCACCCCTACATAACTCGAAATTGTCTCTATGGTAATTAGGGCTGCAGTACTGTTTTGGGGAGGAAAGTGTACATTTTTATCAACAAATTAACTGCAATTGTGGAAAAACTACATAATGATGTGGCGGAAGAGGCGGCAGTACCGGAGAGAGTTCAGTGCGTGGACTGGAAGCAGGACAGTCCCAGACTCAACTTCTGACTCTGAGTCTTGCTATGTCTGTAGCAGTGCGCAAATTAATTGGTTTATCCTAGCTTCAGTTTCTTCTTCTGTAAAATGGGAGTAGTAACGATTACTTTTTAGAGTTATTGTGAAGGTTAACTAAAATAATGCGTGAAAACTTCCTGAGAGAGCGCCTGGCACATAGCAAGTACTCCTGGGTTGGTGGCTGCTGTAATCATTGTTACCATTATCATTGCCATCGTGGTGATAATGGTGATGATGACGATGATATTCTTTGTTTTATTGTCATTATTATTACAGTGTTTTAAGAATGGAAATAATTAATCTTCTAGACACCTCCAAAAGACGGCTTTGTGATTGCTGATGTGCAGCCAGTTACAAGCAGTTCTCCAGAGGAAAAGCAGTCTGCTTCATCAGCTTTCCCGCCCTCGTCCTCTCTAAGAAAGAAGAATCAGCCAGGGGAGAAAGAACTCCCACCCTGGCGATCCTCCGACAAGCACCCAACTGATATCATTCGCTTCAATTACCTGGACAACTGTGACCCCATCGAGCAAATCTGGCAAGGGTGAGAAGCTCCATGCCCTTCTCCACTTCTTTGCTTTCAGAAACAATTTACTGGCACTTCAGTAGATGAAAATAGAACTTACTGTGAAATACAAATGCTTTTCAATACATAGAAGCAAAAAGTAATTGAAAAGTAAACAAACCATTATTGGTAAATTAGCCCTGTTCATTAGGATTTGTTTGCATTTTGTAGCTGTAATGATTTAACATTATAGCTTCTTTTAATATTTCAATACCTCAAATTCCAATCCAGCATCATAGGGTTCATTCTAGTCTTTTCCTATTCCATATTTGCACCTCCCCTCTCTGACAGAGAGAAACCTGGCTCTCATATTTATTTAATGTATAATAATATAAAGATTACATATCATAAATATTACTATATACATATATGTCTATATGTATTATTTTTGTATTATTTTGTATAAAATCGTGTATTACATATAGTGTGTGTATACACACACACACACAGAGTATATATTTACTTACAAACTCTGAAAGTAATTTCAGAATTGCTGACCCAGATCACTATTAAAACAAATCTACTAACTAGAATTCAATATTTGTTTATGGCTCTTTTTTGCCTTTAGTCTGAGGGTATATACGCATAATACTGTGTTCAAAAGTTATATGGGTTTTTTTTTAATATCTCCTTCTGTGTGGGTATGTCACATGGTTCTAAAGTTAAAACTATATAAAAGTATACAAAAAGTGTACAAAAGGTATACTCTGAGAAGTACCACCCCCCCCCCATGTCTACCACTCCACTCCCACCCTGTCATCTTTTCTACCCCATTCCCAGTAACAAATCTAATTAGTTTCTGGTTTATCCTTCCAGTATTGCTTTTTGCACAGAGTTACAAGAGATTCCATTTTTTCAACTATCTGATTGGCAAAAACTTTAAAGTTTGATAATATATTCTATTGGTGAGGCTGTGGGCAAACAGGCACCCTCATACATTGCTGGTAGGAATATAAATTGACACAAACCTTATGGAGGGACATTTGACAATATCTAGCAAAAATACATATGTATTTACATTTTGACCCAGCAATTCCACTTCTAGGAATCAACTTTGAAAATACCAAAAGTACATCTGCACAGGAACATTTATTGCAGCGTTGTCTATGATTTTAAAATACTGGAAATAAATTCTCATACATAAGAGAATGTCTGTTGAATAAACTAGGTATGGTCCCTTCACACAATGGAGTACTAGGCAACTGTAAAAATGAAAGAGGAAGATCTCTATGAACTGATAAGGAGTGATTTCCAGGGTACATTGTTAATCGAGAAAAGCAAATTGCAAAAGAATATAGTATGACACCCATAGTATAGAAAGATGACAAAGTAAGAAAATATACATCTGTATCTGTATATACATATATACTGTTCACTTGTTAACACACACACATACAGGATAAAAAAGAAATTAAGGAAACAAATTTTGAAACATTTGAGAATGTTTTAATATATCTGCCATGTTTTTAGAATATATTTCAACAGATTAATATCAAGGCAGCATAGGGTAGTAACAGTGTACAGCCTGTGGGGCCAATCTGCTTGGGTTCAAATCCAGACACCTCTAGCTATGTGGCCCTGGGGAGTCCCTTGACCCCTCTGTGCCTCAGTTTCCACATCTATAAAATGGCAATGGTAGTAATACCTAAGTCATAGCATCACTGTGAGGATTAATATATGTGACATATGCTTATAATAGTGCCTGACACATAGTAAGTAAGGACTTCTTGTGTAGGATAGATACTTCTGGGTATCTAAGTTTGCAAAAGAATATAGTATTAAAGTTTGTATTATTTGGCTAATAAAGAAAAAGGTAATCCCATAAGGCCTGATGACTTGGCCATTAAGATTACGCACATATTTTCAGGACTATTTGTGTCCCTTTGGAGGTGAGATGAGATGAGAGCGGTATCCCTAATTAAGCAAGAATTAAGCCCTTTGAGGGCACAGACCATGCCTTACTCCTCTTTATATCCCTACTGACTGGCATTGCAATACTTGTTACATGTTTGATTTTGAGAGAAGTGTAGCTTTTTGATTCATGAACTTTAAATTCATCTAGTTGTGTCAGAAAAAAGTCCAATTAGTTCGCTGATAATTTAGAAAGTACTGAGGGATAAAAAACAAGGTACAAAACAGAGTTTGAAAAAAATACTACCATTTATATTAAAATAGGTGGAGGAGAAAGAAACAAATATATTTGTATATACATAAAATATCTCTGGAATATACACAAGAAACTGATACTATCATTTGCCTTGAAGGAGGAGAACTGTAAGTTAGAGACAAGGGTGGATAGGAAATTTTTCACTGTAGATCCTTTCGAACTCTTGAATTTTGAACCATTGTGAATGTACTGACTATGTGTTGATCAGTGTATCCCTAGAGATAGTATTTAAGAGTTTGTACGTGGCGCTTAGTCTGGACTAGGATGGTAAATGAGAGAGAGGCAAACTTAGATACCCAGGCATATGAATGGTACATTAACATGAGATAAACTGATAACTTCCTGAGTTTTCTGTGAGACTCAAATACTATTTGTGAAAGGCAATAATTACATTAAATGTTAATGTACTGAACACCCCAATTAAACAGCAGAGATTATCAGAATGGATAAAAAGGCAAGAACCAACTATATGCTTTTTACTAGAGACACATCTTAAATATAGAGACACAGATGGGTTTAAAAATAAAGTGATGGAAAAAGATGTACCATGCAAGAGTAAGCATAAGAAAGAAAGAATGACCACTAATGTCAGATAAAATAGACATCAAGACAAAGAGTATTACCAAAGATAAAGAGGGACATTTCATAATGATACAGAAATCAACTAAACAGAAAGACATAACTGTTACAAATGCATATGTACCTAATTACGAAGCCTCAAAGTACATAAGGCAAAAATTGACAGATTTAAAGAGATAAATAGACAATTCCACAACCACATTGTTTTCAAGTGCATGTGCTACATTCACCAAAATAGACCAGATTCTTGGACTCCTCAAAGAGTGCCATGGGGGGAAAAAGAGGTGGGGAAAGTGTTCTAGACATAAAAGATATAACAACCAAATGCAGTTGGAATCTAGATGGGATTCTGGTTCAACAAAGAAAGACTATAAAAAGCATTCTTGAGACAATTGCAGAAATTTGAATGTGGACTGGAAATAAAATGATATTAAAGAATTACTGTTCATTTTCTAAGGTATGATGATACTAGTGTGGTTAGGTAGGTAAATGTCTTTATCTTAGGAGATGAGTGTTGAAGTATTTAGGAGTGAAGCGTCTGCAATTTACTTTCTCATGGCGTGGTAAAAATACATACATATATATATGTTGTGTGTATGTATTTATGTATATAGAGAGATAAACCAAAAATAGCAAAATGTTATTAATTGTTGAATGTAGTTGGAGAGTATATGGGTAATCACTGTACTATTACAACTATTCTGTATGTTTGAAATTTCTTAACTAAAAGTTGGGGGAAATTTTTGAAAATTAAGCAGCAAGAAATATTTGGGCAAAGTTGATCTTTTTAAATAAAACTTTTTATAATGGAAATTCAAATATATATAAAAGCAGAGAGAATAGAACTCCTTGTAACCATCATCTAGCATTAACAGTTTTCAACTCATGACCAGTCTGGTTTCATTTATTCCCCACCCACTCTGCCTTCCCCAGGTTACTTTGGAGACAAATCTAAATGTCGTGTTATTTCATTCATACATATTTCAATGCCTATCCTTAAAAGATAGACTCTAGGGGCCGGCCCTGTGGCATAGCAGTTAAGTGCACACGCTCCGCTGCTGGCGGCCTGGGCTCAGATCCCGGGCGTGCACTGATGCACCGCTTGTCAGGCCATGCTGTGGCGGCGTCCCACATAAAGTGGAGGAAGACAGGCACGGATGTTAGCTCAGGGCAGTCTTCCTCAGCAAAAAAGAGGAGGATTGGCATGGATGTTAGCTCAGGGCTGATCTTCCTCATAAAAAAAAAAAAAAAGACTCTAAAAATCATGGCATGATATCATTATCACATCTAAATCAATGAATAATTCCTTAGTATAATCAATCAAATATCAAGTCAGTTTTCAGGTTTCCTTGAATGTCTCATAAGTGTGTGATATTTTTAGACAGTTGGTTTTTTAATCAGGTTCCAAGTAAGAGCTACATATTGCATTTGGTCCACGTGTCACTTAAGTCTTTCTTTTTGATCTATAGGTTTCCCTTCTGGCCTTTTTTTCTCCCTTGCACTTTGTTTGTTATAGAAATCAGCTCATTTATCCTGTAGAGCTTCTCACATTCTGGATTTTGCTGATTATACTCCCAAACATGCAGCTTACCGTGTTCCTCTGTCTCCTGTACTTGGCCGTGCTGGTAGTCAGATCTAGAGGCTTGAGTATGTAATGATCATGTACTTCCATCATGAGGCACATAATTTCTGGTTGTCTCTCTTTTTGTGATGTTAGTGACTAGTGATGATCATTGCCTAGATCTATTATTTTAGGCAAACTTTTTCTGGAAAGGGCTAGACAGCAAATACATTAGGCTTTGCAGGACACATCTCTGTCACAACTGCCCAACTCTGCCATTGTAGCCTGAAAATAGCCATAGACAGTATGCAAAAAATAAGCATCTATGTTCCAATCAAACTTTTATTTACAAGAACAGGCAGGGGGCCAGAGTTGGCCTCTGGGCTGTAGTTTGCTGATCTCTACTTTATCCTAATGTATATGACAGTTTTAGAAAACAAATATTAATATTAATACAAACAATAGGATTACTGAAAAATGTTTAATATTTCTTTGCCTGTGTTTTTGTCCTTAGGATATATTCTGCTAAGAATATTCAGATAAATTACTGTGTTAAAGTCCCCCGAAATAATTCCTCTCTGTGTGGTAATGCCACCAACTCAAAAGACAAGATTGTTTGTTTCATTTTGTTTTTAGATTTTAGAGATTTTCTTCCTTCATGTTATTTTATAATTTTGAGAAAAATTGAGATGGTTCCAAAGTCAAATATATAAAATAAGATATATTTGGAGAAGTCTAGCTTCTCTTCCTACCCCTCCAACTGTTCCTTGTTATTAATTGGATCACATGGGAATCCTACTTATAGGTAACCATTTTTCAAAATGTTATGGTATAATCCTTCCATTGAAGAAAATATAAGCAAATATACACACACACACCCCTTTCTGAAATAAATGGTAGCACACAGTACATACCCTTTTATCCACCTTTCTTTCTTCATGTAACAGTATATCCTGGAGATCACTCCACAGTTTTATATAGAAATATTCTGCCTTCCTTTTTACAGCTCATAGTCCTCCATTGTGTGGATGTGCCAGAGTTTATTCAACCAGTTCTCTAGTGATAGACATTTGGCTCGTTTCCAGTTTAATGAAGACAATCTTTTAAATCACAGGAACAACAAAATCAGACAGATAGCTTTGCAAACCAACAAAGTTTTAAAATGATCATTTGTAATTTTTCCAATGCTTTCCAATTTACAGAAGAAGGAAAAAACACGAAATGACCCCAGATTTCAGCCGACACTCACATGATAAGAAAAATAAATTGCAGGACAAATCCAAGCTCAGAAAAGCACAGTCACTGGTAAGTATTGTTTACAAAAGATTCCCACCACAACATTGATGAAAGTCACTGGATCTCTAATCCTACTTGTGACATTGAATTTGTTTTTTTAATCAGGATCATCAAGTGGTAGTTTAAATCCTGGTCTCTGACACTGACTGAGAGGCTGTGTAACCTTGAAGATGCCTTTTATTTAATCTCTCTGAGCCTCTGTTTTCTCCTCTGTTTAAAAAAAAAAGACTGGATGAACTCATGTGTATGAATCTGCTTTGAAAACTATATAGTAGGAAGGGAGCATTATTATCATTGTTTGTTTCTTGTGCTGTGAGTCCTCTGGAGTGGAGGGAGAGAGGCTACAGAAATTTCTCTGTAGAAATTACATGTCTAAAGAATGAAGGTTCCACTGACCTAAGAAAAAGGTATGCTTTCCATAGCTTTCCTGCTACCAGGAAGGCATGATTATAAAAATACATTTTAAGTAACTTCAGAAAAAATGAATTAAGAACTTTGCTTTCCCTAATTAAAAAATAGCTAACTGGCTCCCTAATAAAGTCAGTAATTATGACCAGGGAGCATTATCATTTCATAGCACCGTTTCCCACATTGTGGTTCTGAACCAAGTAGATCCCTTTCAGCACATATGAGAGTCTTTGGAGCAAAGTAGAAGGGAATAAGGGTGAAATAAAAAGTTTATGTTAGAAGTAAAGATTTAGAAAAAAGCTGAGGATAGACACTCAAGGAAAATTAATGTAAAACAGATGTCAATTGGGAGAGGAATAAGTATGTACTCATGAATAAATCACTTTTATAGCTCTGCTTTAAGGCCCTATTACTTCTGTTTAAATGTATTTTCAAGTGTTATGTTCCGAAAAAAGAGAGAGAGAGAGGGATGAGCTTTTTAAAATAGGGCAGTCTGTATTCTGAGGGCCAATTTTGTTAGACTGGATGAGACTTATCACAGACATATGTACAGACGCCCAAGGAAATGGGGAAGCTTAAAGCAGAGCAGTAAAATTGTCAGTGAAAACCATTAATTGAGAAATATAACTTTATGAGGCTTATCACACAGGCCATTCAGGCAAGCTTCTGCCTGGTCTCCTGGCTCCTCCTAGGCCAGGAGTAGAAGAGAAATCAGGGGGAGAACAAGGAATTTGAAGGACGATAAACGTTGATGGTGATGTCTGCTTACAAGTTATCAGCACAGTCAAGCATTTCTCCGGCTTAAAAAACAAAACAAAACAAAAAATCACAGGCTAAACAGAAGCCTTCCCCATGGGCTCTTGACATTTACCATCTGCCACACACTGGCAGGGCTTGCTTAAGTTAATATATTCATTATAAATTAAAAACTTAAAAAGTTATGCTAATTAAAGCTGAAAGGGAAACCAGGGCAAAGTAAACAATGATAGAGAACAATTAAGCTATTAATAAATGAAGTGTGTGATGGTATCGATCTACTTGTATTGTTTATGTAAACATACTAATTATAATCACTATTTATGCTTGGTAGTTTTGATAAGGAGCATAAGGCATAATTAAACCCTCCAAAAGTAGACTATGATCCTTGACTCGGGAACGATGCCAGTGATAGGCTTGGCTGTGTGGGCCACAGGGCCGCGTATGGCTGAGGCCCCCTCTCCACGCGGTGGCAGTTTGCCCTCACTGGCGGCCACATCCCTCAGGGGAAATAAGCAACCTCCTAAGTGAGGCAAGATGATTGTGAAAATGAAGAAAGGCTGTATGGAGGGCTAAGAGAAGACGAAACGGTATTGAGGAAATTTAATTAGGAGACGTAAGGAGAGTCGGGAGTAAAACTCTGACACCTGCAGCTGTAGAGAGAGCATGGGAGACAGGGCCCAGGTGCAATGGTGATGGAGAAAATCATGTATTCCTTCGACAGAAAGTACCAGATCATTTAGACAGGCGTATCTAGGAAGATTTCCGGAGGAACTAGAGAAACAGGTGAGCCCGCGAAACTTAGGGGAACACATTATAAAGGCGAGGATGAGAGGGACAGACCCCCAAAGCCCCACCCAGGAGGCATCTGAGACCTGAACACCTGAGTATTCCTTGCCTCTGGAAGTGGAAAAGGGGGCATGTGATGCTGAGAGAAGTGAAAGCTTCGTGAAATGGAAGGGTTGGAAGAGGAGAAAGCACAGGAGTGTAAAGGAGTGCAGAGAAGATTCCTTAGGCCATCTCTCCAGGGCTGTGGCTATCAGGCCACGGAGGCCGGCTTCACATCTTGCCTATGTCAACCCACAAGAACAGAAACCAGTGTAAGAGGCAAAGTGTTTATTTGGGATCAAAGAATTGCAATTCGGGGAGCACATATTCAGGTAGAAAACCAAATACTGTCCTGCTAGGGAATAAAAATCAGGGGCTTTTAAAGGCAAAGAAGGGAGGTTGTATTACAAAGAATTTTAATTGGAGTTGGAGGCAGAGAGCTAGTCTTGGCTACACGTGGATTGACTATTGATTCTATCGTCAGAAAATCCACAGTCCTCAGTCTTTGTGATCAGGATATCGGTTTTCCTGCTGACTTCTCAAACAATTGCTTGTAAAATCATTGCCATTTTGACCCAGTCCAAAGGTTTGGCCCAGTCCAAGGCTAGAGATACAGCAGGCAGTTTCTCTGGAAAGGCATCTCTGACTCCATTTTAAAATGGCTCCACTATAGTCAATTTTGACACTATTATGACTTAGAGCCTTCAGATATGAGACTTCTCTCTAAAAAGACAAACGTTCTCAGGGAAATGGTTTCAAATCTACATGCACTGCTATAAGCTTGTGATGTTTTCTATTATTATTAGGTTTGAGTTTTCAAAGCCCACCCCTTAAAAGGGTACCTGATTTCTTCTTATGCTTTCAATTCTAGTGCTGCCTCATTACAGCTGCTGCATTTAACCACCTTTTGGTGTGAATCATTGATAGAAGATGGGAATCAGGCCTAGGTCTGATCACCAATGCTTTGCAATTTTGAGGATTGTTTATTAAAATTATATAAAGATCAAGAAATGCCCATTACTGTTACTTATTATAAGAAAATTCCATACAGAACAAAGCAATTAAAAAATATAAACACCACAGTACAGCCAGGTACCATCTTAATTAAACTTCAGAGATTTCCCTATCTTGTGTAAAGACCTGAAAAAAAATTTTTTTTTTTAAGATTTTATTTATTTATTTTTTCCCCCAAAAGCCCCAAGATAGTTGTATGTCATAGCTGCACATCCTTCTAGTTGCTGTATGTGGGACTCAGCCTCAGCATGGCCGGAGAAGCGGTGCCTCTGTGCGCGCCCGGGATCCGAACCCGGGCCACCAGCATCGGAGCGCGCGCACTTAACTGCCAAGCCACAGGGCCGGCCCTGAAAAAATTTTTTTCAATCTTAACAGCTGCCCCCACAATTCGTCTTGGGGCAGGGGCAGGAGGGAGCTATCTCCTTGGAGGAAAGCCACTGATGAGCTTGTGGGGAGGGATGACACCGTGAGGGCTTTGAAGCTACAAGCATGTCAACTTCAGAGGAGGGTAAAACCTGCTCTCCCGGAGATTAGAGGGAGTTTGTTGTTTCTGCTCTTGCAAGGGAAGGGGAGGAGGAGCAGAGGGAGGGGGGAGGAAAGAGATCAGAGGAGGAGAGAGAAGCCAGCCAGATGGAGAGAAGCTGAGATAAGGTGGGGCAGAGGGGCCAGGACCGGGTTAGATAGTAATGCCACTCATTCCCATCAAATTTATTTGCTATTACTGCCCTGTAAACCCCGCCTTCCATCTCTATAGTAGATTCTATTCAGTTTACTCGTGGGAGCAAGGTCTCAGAAGTCTAGCAGGCCAAGAAAACGAAAGCCCCTCAGGACAATTCTCAAAAACCAAGGAGGTGGCTTTGGACTTCCCAAGCCCTGGAATTGGATTCACAGGACCCCAGCTGACATCTTTTTTCACATCATTTTTTTTTTCCTAACAAGTTGAGTATAAAAACAAATACCTTTTGTCTCACACTGAACTTTTACTTGGAGGTTAGAAGTCCTCACTTTCTAGGTTCTGATTTGGCCATGGATTTCAAAAAGCTTGCTGTTCAGAGCATTCACCTAAATACAAGTAACCAAAGCCTTTAATTGCCTGCCTACTCTAATTGCTTAGATAACACCTTATCTGTTTCTGTGCTCGGCTAATAACAGCCTCTGCTGTTACCTTCTTCTCTTCTTTCTAGGATAACTTGGTTCTTAGCGTTCTGGGTTTTAAATGCTTCTTCAAGCTTTCTCACTTTTTTTCCTCCCTGGGTCAAAAGAGGAAATAGGAATATACTGTAAAATGATTCCTGGTTCATGTCATGGACGGAACAATGGTTTAACAATCAGGAAACCTTTACTAAAGGCTTCTAGCCTCAGCTCTACCATTAACTAGCAGTCACTCAGACTCTTTGAGTTTTCATTTACCCATTTATAAAATGAGAGTTTGGATTCCAACATCTTTAAAGTCCATTCCAGGGGCAGGTCCCATGGCGCAGCGGTTAAATTCACCCGTTCTGCTTCGGCAGCCCAGGGTTCGCGGGTTCAGATCCTGGGCACAGACCTATTCACCACTCATCAAGCCCTGCTGAGGTGGCCTCCCATAGAGAAGAACTAGAAGGATGTACAACTAAGATATAAAACTATGTACCGGGGGCTTTGGGGAGAAAAAAGAAAAAAAGAAGAAGATTGGCAAGAGATGTTAGCTCAGGGCCAATCTTCCTCAAAAAAAAGTCCATTCCAGGCCTAAATCTGGATCTCTGGACCCCCATAGTGTCCTACCCTATTCTCTCTCCTGAAACCTGGGGGACACAGCTGTGACTAAAGTGACTTTACATAGAATACCCCAAAGAATCCATTATATTCTTGAATCCTAATTATAAGCCAATAAAAACTGGTTTCTGTCTCCCATCTTTTTCTTTGAACTTTAGAAAATATAATTAATTAAAACAGAAGAATTTACAAAACAGAGTTTATGCAGTGGTTTCCCTGCAGGCAATCTTTGACAGACTTCTTTCAAATTCTGACGAACTCCCCAGGTGTTTGTTTTACAACATGTATTTGGTTTGGAGGTGCAGAACTAAAATAGCTATAGGAGAGACTTGTAATTACATAGTACAATCAGTGAAATTCCCAAGAATTCCATTTGGAAGGAGGAATAAGAATCTGGGTTTTGCAGTCAGGCAGACCTGGGTTCTTTTACTAAATGGTTCGACTTTGGATAGTTGCTTAACCTCTCTGAGCCTCAGTTTCTTCATCTGTAAAATGGGAATAATGATACCTCCCTGCAGGATTGTTGTCAGGACTAGATGTCAGGTGCATGTTAATCACTCAATACGTGTTTGTGTTCTTCCCCATTCAATACCATCTTATTTTTCACTTTGCTGATCAAGAGCACTTGGGTTTGGGACTCAGACAACTAGGTTCAATGCCCAATACCATAATTTTAGTAGCTCGGTGATTTGGGCCAAGTTCTGAACCTCCCGGAGGCTCTGTTTCCTCATCTGTAAAATGGAATTAATAACGACACTAACCTCCAGGGTTGGGAGGTGGAGGTAAAGCATTAGCACAGCGCCCAGCTCAAAGCAAGTGTTTAGTGAATAGCAGCTAGTAGTGGGAGCAGTCAGATCTCACAACGTCACCATCTGAGACCACAGGGAAAGGTGACCGGAGCGGTGATGGGGAGCAGCTGCCGAAAGACTGAGAAGGGTCAGCCAGGCAGCCAGAAAGAGGATCCAACCTGTGGAATAAGCTTCTCTTTCTCACCTTTACCTTTACTTTCCCGAGTTTTCTTTATCTTTCCCCTTTGTCTTCTTCCTCTCAGTTTCCTATGTAAAAAATGGTTGCATCCATAGCTGCATGAAATGTAAGCCATATACTGTTTTCTTTTCCTGCACAGCCTCCGTATGGTCTTGTGACTGCACATGCGTTCATGCGTTGACTCCTCATCATGCATTGACTCCTCATCAGTGTTGGGTTTTTTATTCCACGCTCCTAGACTGAACAGTGCATATGTGTGGAACTCAGTGCCATGAATTCTGTGCTATGTGCACTCTACTGCTTACTAACCACAATATTACTTCTTGTTCATACCTAAGAGAAGAAAAGGCCTAATTGCTAAGAATCCTGGGGGCAACATTAACTCTCAGGAAGGACCACGACTTAGTCTTTGCATTTCTCCTTTGCCTCTATAAGAGCATAGTTGACTTGTTCTGTCCTGTTGCCTCTTGTTTTATCATGCTGTACATAATCAATTACCCTAGCATTTCCAACAGGACTGACTCTACCTGCTTTTCTTTCACTGAATATTTAGACTGGGGCTAAATGGCTGCTTGTTTTTATTTAAAAGTTAAACACAAAATATTTGACAGAAATTGGCTTCTCTTCAAGATCGACCAGAAGAGAAGAACTGTGTTTGTGAGTTATGTAATATTATTAGTTATATACATATTAGTTATGACAAATATTTTAATCACTGTTACTACTGAGTTTAAAAAATATATGTATGTATATATGTAGTATATATATGTGTATGTGTGTATAACATTTAATAATATAGTATTTCACTGCAAACTACGCTAGAAGCCAGTTTTTTTAAGACATGAATGTTTTGAAATATGAGTTAACAGTCATTACTAACAACCATTCAAACTTTATGGCCTATGCGCATTTTGCAACATATCCCACCTGATTTCACCTACTTGAGAGGCTGGATGGTGCAGTCACATAGTCTCAGATTTAAACTTCAAAACCCTGGCTAAAATTGCTTAGCCTTCCTCTGCAGCTGACAGTTTTACCCCAAGGTTACTTAAAAGATAAACCAAGAACAAAGACAGGCCTGTAGCTTCTTTAAAACTGTGTTGATTATTTCTCCCTAACAACTTACCTTTATTTCTCACAGAAGCAGAGTGAGCTAGGAGGAAAAGGGAACACTTTCTCCCTGACCAAAGCAGGGGGCCCCTGGAAGGGTGACCAGCCAGGTCTCAACAGCCGTCTGAGCTCCTAGGCAGATGGGAGGAGGACAGGGGTCCTGCTCATAGAATTCCCAGATGGAAAAGTCCATGAAGCAGCTCCAGCCCAGGGATTAAGCATCCACTTGACTGAAGCTGGCAGGGTGGGGGTGGGGGGGGTGCTCCCTAGACATCTTCCCTATATTCTGAGCCAATATCCCCACCAGTGGCCCTTGCTTGTTGCTCAGCGCCTGGCCTCTGCTTAGGCAATTTATGGGGGTGAGTTGAAGCTGTGTTTATATGACTAAAACAAAAAACTTCTGGTTTTATGATTTTCAAACACAATAATCCATATTTATATACAGTATTATCACATCACCCATGAACTGGGAGTCATAATAAAGTGTTGAGAGTAGATTTTAAAAAGAGGAGGAGGTGCGTGGGGTCTCCTACAAAGTGAAGGTTGTCACCTTCTTCACCACATCACATGTTTGGGAAGATTAAATGATAGACTTACTGGTAGATTGCATGACTGTTGCCACCATCAGCCCATCAGAAAACAGACAGACATGCACAAATGTAAAGGTCATTCATATCAGCATCATTGGGAAGAGCAAAAGGTTGGGAAAAGTTCAAATATTTATCAGTATGGTTCATCTATAAATAGACTATAATACAATCATGGAAAGATTGAGGAAGTTCTTTCAGTATTGATTTGTAACCATCACACGCACAAACACACACCTATGCATATACTCTCATATAAATAGTGAACAAAAAGTGATGGTGTTTATAGTATGCTACCAATTGTTTAAAAAAGGAGAGGGAGAGAATGAATATGGTTGCATTTTATGTATATATTTGCTTGCATATGTATAAAATATCTCTGGAAGGATACACACAAAAGGATAACCTTGGCTGTCCTTGAGGAAGGGAACTGGAGCGCTGAGAGATGGGGTGGGGGGAGATTTTTCACTGTCCCCTTTTGGACCTTCCAATATTGAGCTATGTAGAAAAATAACCTATTCAAAAATAAACAATTATTTTAAAAGAGAAAGGAAAAAAAAATCACTGAGGAGCTGTAGGAAAATGCTCTTAAGGCAAGAATCCCACATGGGATAGAAGTTTAGTAAAATACGCCTTGTCCAGTCTCAAAGTGCTCAGAAGTTAAAATAAACCACTTGAAATAAAGGTTCAATCATCCTGGTAAGATGGTCCTGGTTGTTAAGTCTCTGTGCTGAGAAGAAGGACCTTTCTGGTCGAAGGAAAGGGAGGGGGGTTTCCACAGCAAGGCAGCAAAGATGAGGAGAAGGGAAAAGGTTTGGTGAGCCTCATGTAAAGGAGAAACCTAGTCTTTCCCTACTGTTGTAGGGAAAAACCTCCGTTCAGTCTATCTCCCATGTGTTTCCTTTACTGCCTACACAAAACACCCGCACTTTTGACGCTTCTGGTCACCAGACGTGTGGAGGTTTTTCCCCACATCAAGCAATTCTCTGTGACATCAGCTGGGTGTCCTGCAACTTAACTCAATTCTGGCACTGTCTACCCAGAGATAGCGTCAGATCCCACAGGTTAAGGGCGCAATCCCACAAGACTGCTGCCTCCCCAGCCCCAGCACACACACACTTCAGACATCAGCCGCAAGCCCAAGTTGTCACCTGTGCTTCTGACCAACTGGGTATAGATCAGAGGTTCCAATGACCCCCTCCTTGGGTTTGATTAATTTGCTAGAGTGGCTCACAGAACTCAGGGAAACACTTACTTACATTTACCAGTTTACTGAAGGATATATGATAAAGGATACAGATGAACAGCCAGATGAAGAGATATATACGGTGAGGTCTGGGAGGGTCCCAAATGCAGGAGCTTCTCTCCCTGGGGAGTTGGGGGTGCGTCACCTTCCCAGGGTGGTTGTATTCCCAGTGTGGATGTGTTCACTCACCTGGAAGCTCTCTGAACCCCATCCTCTTATTTTATAGAGGCTTCCCCAGATAGGCATGATCAATTAACTCCATTTCTAGCCTCTCTCCCCTCTCTGGAGGATGAGGGGTAAGGCTGAAAATTCCAAGCTTCTAATCATGGCTTGGTCTTTCTGGTGACCAGCCCCCATCCAGGAGCCAACCAGTCACCCCAATAGAACAAGAGATGCTCCTAGTGCTCTTATCACTTAGGACATTACAAGGGTTTTAGGAGCTCCTGTGCCAAGGACAGGGGGGAGGCAAAGACCAATATGTATTTTTCCAATATCTCATACCCAACATTGGTATAAAAGAAATTTCCAGTTATTTCAACTAGATCATCAGATGCTCGAGACCAAGATCCAGGACTGTCAGATTTGTACCCTTTTATATAACTTCCCCATGTTTGCCCCTTAAATCTTGTCTTTTCTCTTGTAATGATGGACATTAAAGTCTTAAAATGCAGAGGGTCCCCAAGCTTGTTTTCAGGGACAGCAAGGAAGGGTGGACGTAAAGAGACCATCTTCCCAGAGCCAATCTTGGAGGGAAAAGAAACCCAACAGTCTGGATAGGCGGTGACAATTACCAAGAGGAGAGGAGAGTGGGGAGGAGGATGGGTGAGGGGAAGTCCCTGGGACCTGTCACTAGTGAAAAAGGAGAGCGTAAGAGGAGCCTGCCTGGGCCTGTGAACTTCCCCTTGGGACTTAGGAGGAAGGGGTTCCTCAGTGCAGTGATAAATAAGCTTTCCGTGGTAATAGGATTAAATTTGAAACTGTTACAGGTACAAATTTGTGACTAGCCCATTCTTGTATCACAGAGAGCTAGGCTTTTTCTTCATTCAACAGGTATTATTTTATTTTCATTGTTACTAAAATAGCACAAAGAAACACTTCTGTTTGTTCTCTTACCTTATGCTGATCTGAGAACAACACTGAAAATGCTTATTCTATGCTGATCTTAACACTGAAAACTTTAAATGAGGGAAGATTATTTACTTCCATTTCTGCCCCTTTCCCTCTTTGATTTTAACAACTTGCTACATTTAACCTCAACTTTGCCTACTCTTTCCCAGAAAAGTCATCAACTAACGTATGGATCTACCATAGACAGGCACCCGTAAATCAATGAGGTAGAAGATTCCAGCTTTGCTCTCAGGGAGCTTGCGATCTCAGCGGGAGACAAATAATTACATTCAGAAACAAATACTAATGCCCGAGAGCATATATTCAATGCTAAGTCAGAGGTCTCAATAATAATGGCTTCAGGAATCCAACTGAGGCAGAATCCGGGAGAGTCAAGACACTCAAGCTTCTTGGAGAAGGTGGGCCTTGAAGGACAGGTTAGATTTAGAGAAGTAAAGAGAGCACGTGAGGCAAGACCAGTTGGTGTGGAGCATCGGGATAAATAATGAAGGACTTGGTTCGCTGGAGAAGAGGACAGGAGAGAGCAGTCATTGGCTGAAGCAATGTCTGATTCAATGAAAGTCTAAAGTAGGATTTCCCCCCAAATTAATAGAAACCCAGTGTGTCGCAAACGTATCCATCAGAGTGTTAGTGGGATGTAACAAGTGATCTGACTGCGGAGACTTGCCAGCTGAATATGGAGTCATAGGTGGGGGATTGTGTTCAGGGAAGGCTACATATCTGTATACCTGCCAAATCCCATTATGTCTCTCTGCACACAGTAGGGGCCGAGATAAGGGTGAACTTAGAAGAGTCCATCACTCCCGCTTCCTGCAAGCTCAGCTCGTATCATTTCTTTCTCTTGCTCTTTTCCATTCCTTCCTCTTCCCTTTCCTGTTCGCGGCCAGATGTCAAGGAGAAATCCTTTCTCACTGTGAGTTTTGATTGAATTGTCAGCCTGTGACATTTGCCTTTTTAGAGAGAATGAGTGCATGCACAGATTAGTGGGGAGGATAAAATATGGGAACTCTACCAATACTCGCCTGCTCTAAGAATCCCAAGTCGCCAGACTCAGCTCCAACACCTTTCGCTCTGTGAGCTTGGGCTGACACTTAAACTGCCTGTTCTTTGGTTTCATTTATTTGTACGATGGAGATGTTAATACCTACCCCCCTCCTTTGCAGAATTTTCTTGAGGTTCAAATGAAATTATGGTTGTGAAAGCACCTTGGAGACTAAAGAACTTATTAGTAGCTCAAGGTGAAGATTGCATGGGGGTAAGGGGTGGTGAAATTGGGATGTCTCAGTAAATCCTATCCAGCCCTATGATTTTATAAAATTGTTTTATGTCATTACAATACAGTAAGCTTAATTATATAGCTTCCTCAGATGTTTTGATGACTCTCACTCTAATGATATCTTTCTCCTCCCTAGATATCCCTAAGTACAGAGCCCAGCTCCCCTCTACCAGTTCCAGCTCATTTGGCCTGGCCTCCTCGTCAGTTAGTGGGGCTCCCGGCCACCGAAGCAGCAACAAAAATTCTCATGCAGCATCTTCAGAGACGCTCTGGCTTCCAGTCGTTACCCATCCAGGCTCCAGATCCAAAGCCAATTTAAAAATGTGAAAAGCTTTTTATAGAGATGACAAGATGCTCTACATGTTGGAGAGTTGGATGTTACTTGGCTCCTCTATTAGAAACTTCCAGTTTAGGTACCTTATTGCGAACGTGAGTTCTACAGTCATGGCATAAATGTTGACATATTTACAAACCGAGATACAAATGTGGTGATAGATACCATGGGCTTGATAAAGGGACATATGATAGCACCATAGGTAATATTGGGTGTTTGAGACAGGGTCGCAGAAGGATACAGACAGCACACTCCCAAGGCTACTTGGGCAGTTTAATGATGGGGCTATTTATCTTGGTGTCTTAATTGCTAGTGCTGCTATAACAAAGTACCACCGTCTTAATCCGTTTGGGCTGCTATAACAAAAATACCATAGATGGGTGGCTTGTAAACAACAGACATTTATTTTCTCACAATTCTGGATGCTGGGAAGTCCAAGATCAAAATATTGGCAGGGTTGATTTCTCCTGAGGCTTCTCTAGTTGGCTTGTGGAGGGCCACCTTCTCCCTGTGTCTTCGCATAGTCTTCCTTCCGTGCATGTCTGTGTCTTAATCTCCTCTTATAAGGACATAAGTCAGATTGGATTAGAGCCCACCCATATGACCTCATTTAACCTTAATTACCTCTTTGAAGACCCTATTCTCAAAGACAGTCACATTCTGAGGTCCTGGGGGTTAGGACTGCAACATAGGAATTTGAGGGGACACAACTCAGCCCACAACGCAGATTGTGGGCAGGGTTAAGAGAATCAAGACGAGATAGTGAAGCACCTAGGAACTAGTAATAGTGGAAGCTTTTATCATCCTTTGGCCTGAAGAGACTGTAGGGAAAGGGCATGTTGTTCCTAGAACCCACTGAGAGCTGTAGCCACGAGAGAGGGGCAGCCTAACAGGATGTATGCCACATGCTGGAGGAACCCAGCCACCAAGGAAAGCAAAGCCTAGCAGGGAGGGAAGAGGGAGAAGACCCAACCCCTCTCTCTCCCCACCTTTGACGCTCCAGCAGCGCTTCCCTTTGGTCAACCCCATCTGGGAGTCAGAGAACAAAGACACCAGGGGGATGCAGTTCTCAGATGTCAGCCTCCTAGGCAAGTAGCAGAGCTCAGAAGTGTGGCCAGGAGTGGGTGGAGAGGGGTAGGATGTGAGTGGACAATGAAAAATAACCAGCACAGTGGGGGGAATGTGTACATTATCAAAAGAGGAATTATGATTGATATTCAAGCAATGTGAATGGTCTGTAAGGAGTTACAGGAAAACAGAAAATGTTACTTAGCTGCAAAAATATTCCTCATGCATTCTAACTCAACCACCTACTCATGTAACCATTTCAAAGTCCCAGAAGTTACCATTCTAGGAACTTATTTTCCTAAGTAAAGCAGAATGATAGAAAAACAAATATGTTTGTTCATGTAATGTTGAACACGTATGTTCTTATGCTACATACTGAATATATATATTTTTGAATAGTTTAAAATGGTGCCCTGGCAGGACGGCCCAGGATACAGTGGTTTAAATGCTCAAATGATTGGTGGAGGACAAAATATGACCAACTTACAATCGATTTGTTTGCAGCACCCAGGGTAAAGCTAACACACGGCTCTGAGGCAGAAAAGAAAGAAAACACACCTGCTTGAGACCTTGTGTGCTTCCCATGGGCAAAGCACACGGCTGTGAGTTAGAGTTTCCTCTGCCTGGAGCCTGAGCCCTCAGGGTCGGCCCCCAGGAGCCAGGCACAGCTGTACAAGCTGGGGGGCCCTGCAGCTCCAGGATTCTGCTTCACTTTGTCCCAGTGAACCCCTGTGATTATGTCAGGAACCAGTCATGTTGTGGGCATATGTTTGAATAGGCCAGTCTGGAATATGTCCCCAGGCCCCTTCTGGAATAAACCAGGATCTTCTCGGGCAAGGACATATCAAGAGAAAGAAGGGCTCATCCAGTACAAGTGGCTACATCTTGTCTTACACTGTATTTGGGTTACCTATTGCTGTGAAACTAATCACCCCTAAACTTAGTTGCTTACAACAACAATCTGTTATTCTCCTCATGCACCTGCAGTTTGGGAGGGCTGTGGGGGAGAACATGTCAACAATCCACACAGCATCCTCTGGGTCTTCTCAACGGAGGGCTGGAGGATACACTTCCAAGATGGTGGAGGACATAGCTGGAAAGTTGGTGCTGGCCATCCACTAGGCACTCAGCCAGGGCTGAGGGCCAAAGGCCTCGTTCCTCTCCACGTGGACTAGGATTTTCATAGCATGGGGCCTGGGTTCTGAGGCCCGATATCCCAAGAGAGAGCCAGGTGGAATCTGAATCCCCTTTTTGTCCTGGCCTTGGAAGCCTCATAGTGTCGCTCCATCTTCCCCTGGTGATCACAGAGGCTTGTCCAATTTCAAGCAGAGGGGACAGACTCGGGAGACTTGCCAGGTTCTGGAAGAACCTGTGGGATGGGAAATATTGCAACCGTTTTGGAAAGGACTCTCTGCCTCAGAATGGTTCCTTGTGTGACCCTTCACCGTCACAGGTCACAGCATAGTTATATAAACTAGGTGCATCCCCTGCAGTAGTCAGCTCAGCTGCCATAACAAAATACCACAGACTGGGGGGCTTAAACAACAGAAATTAATTTTCTCACAGTTCTGGAGGCTGGAAGTCCCAGATCAAGGTGTCGTGTCGGCAGGGTTGATGTCTGCTGAGAGCTCTCTCTGGGGTTGCCTTTTCACTGTGTGTTCACATGGCCTTTCCTTGTTGCCTGTGCAGAGAGAGAGAGATTGAGAGAGAGAGGGTGAAAGAGAGAGAGATCTCCCTCGTGTTTCTTCCTATAAGGTCACTAAATCCTATCAGATCAAGGCCTTACCCTTATGATCTTATTGAACCTTAATTACTTCTCTAGAGGTCCCATCTCTAAATACAGCCACTCTAGAGGTTAAAACTTCAACATATGAATTTGGGGGGGACACAAACATTCAGTCCATAACATCCCCCATAGTGATATGAATTAGACAACAATTGATAAATTTATATTGATATTCATTAATTCAAGAAAACTTTATTGAACACCTACCACGTGCCAGACTCTCTGCTAGGCTCTGGGAATACAGGTAGGAGAAAAGAACAGTTCCTGCCTTTAATGAGTTTATAACTGTGAGGGAGGCCGAGCAGCCACTACAATACAGTGACAGCTCCTGGGAGGGACAGATAAACCATTCCATGAGGAGCTGCAGGAGTGATGTCCAAGCAGAAACTGAGGATGAAGAGGTGGGACAGACAAGGGGGAGCATTCTAGAGAAAGGAATAAGATATGCAGAAACCCAAGGCAAAACTAGGGTGACCACCATCCTGGTTTGCCCAGGGCTGTTCTGGTTTTTAGCGCTACAAGTCCCATGTCCAGGAAACGCCTCAGTCACAGTGCCTTGGAGTGGGAGTTGTAGCAGGGTTGGTGAGAGAGAAAGCTGGAGAAGCATGCAGGAGCCCAAACAGGAACTAAACCGTGCTAAGGAATTAAGACTTTATCTTGAAAGTAGTCAAGCAATTAATAAGTGATCTTCAAAAGGGGAGTGACTTGCTAAGACTTGCATTTAGAAAGATCTCTATCTGCTGGATAATTAAGAAGAGGGACAATACTGAAAGCCAATTAGGAAGCCATTGCAGTTTTCAAGGGAAGAGAAAATGGTGACTTAAAGTAAAATAATGGAGGGGGTTGGAGAGCACCAGGGGATTTTGAATATCTTAAGGAGAAGTAGCAGAACTTAGAAATAGAGATGTGGGAGGTGAGAGACAAGGAGAAATCAAGGATGACTCCCAGAGTCCTGGCTTGGGCAACTGGAAGAAGTCTTGGGAAGTAATTAGGATGGTTTGGAAATACCTTGCCCACACCGTCCTACTCAAGAATACAGACAGAGCATCTATTCTTCTGCTTCCCATACAGCTCTTGTTGACTTAAAATCTCAGTTATTGTGCAACTGACCCAGAAGTCTCCGGCGTAGCCACGTGACTTACAGGAACTTCAGGATAAGGAGGTTTGGGGCAAGAAGGAAACAGGCATTTATTACACTGGATACTTCCCAAACACTTATGTACTCTATCTTATTTGATCTCACAAGAGTCACGAGGGAGGTAAGTGGGTATTGTTATGCCCAGTTCATACCTGCAGAATTGGGGATGAAGTAATGAGCCACAGGTGGCCACGGCTACAAAGCAGCAGAGATGGGCTTTAAACCCAGATGTGTTTGAGTCTCAAGAACTGTTCTTTCGGGGCCGGCCCCGTGGCTTAGCAGTTAAGTGCGCGTGCTCCGCTGCTGGTGGCCCGGGTTCGGATCCCGGGCGCGCACCGACGCACCGCTTCTCCGGCCATGCTGAGGCCGCGTCCCACATACAGCAACTAGAAGGATGTGCAACTATGACATACAACTATCTACTGGGGCTTTGGGGGGCAGGGGGAATAAATAAATAAATAAAATCTTTAAAAAAAAAAAAAAAGAACTGCTCTTTCCACCACGCTACTTTTCTAATTAACAGTAGTTTCTACCTGATGGGATATTTTGTCACATCTACTGCCATGCCTGGATTCTGTCTTCACTCAGCATTTGAGGAGGATGCAGAACAAGGGAAGGACTCTACCTGCTCAGGACTCAAAGAGGCCAGCCGAAGGCTGCTTCCAGGAGCAAGGATTGCAAGAGAGCTTCTGCATCCTTTCTAACTGGTCCTCACACTGATTTTACTTGCAAAAACCCTAAATCCAGAGGACCTACATAATTATCTTTGTGAGCATCAAGGCCAGGGGAAGCTACGGAGACAGTGTCCCGATCAACAGCCAGTTTAGGGAAGGAGGGAGCGTCAGGAGGTGAAACTTGAGAGAGAGGTAACTATGAAGGACACTACAGGGAAGAAAGAAACACAGGATGAGTTCCCAGGGCCTCCCTCCAAAAGAGAGGGAGTGCACAAGTGAGCTTGTCTAAATCTTAGAAGGGCTCTGGAAACCTGACAGCTAGACCTGTGTGCCCCTCCATGGAGGCTGCCCTCCCAGGTCAGGGATACCCTGGAGCTGGAGCCTTAAGAGAAACCCCAGTGCCACCTTGAGCTCTTTCTTAACCAGCTAGGTTTACATTTTGATGTGAATCTTGACTTATCTCCTGTGAAGTCTCAATCCTTTGATTCACGTAGTAATCTATCCATTTTGCTTATAATCTCCTACTGTTGTTATTTCTGCATGTATTTTATCCGCCTCCCCCTTCTCTTCTAGATTGGGAATTCTTGAAGGATCCCAGTTACACTCAATCTATATTTCCGCATTTTCTTTTATGCAGTAGGCACATGACTGGAGTTTGACTGTTGTCATTGGAATGTCAGCAGGAGATCTGAAACGTTCATTTCTCAGCTGGCTTCTTTATTCACTGACACTGGCAGAGAAAGGACACAAGAGGGTGCTCCTTCCCCTCCTTTATGAGTCCAGGGAGCTGCACCTTTTCTGCCCATTTAGGTCTCTTGAAAAATCATACATGACTGATGTTGGTGAAAACATTTTTTACGACTATTGGGGAGAGGCTTTGGGGAATTTTGAATATTTATACTGGCATCCTTAGGGAAATATTTATTCAGCTCAGGTCTTTGATTCCATTCTAATCAATCAAACAAATATTCACATAGTTTTTTACGAACTTACAGTCTAAAGAAGAAACGTATATTTTAGAAAGTAACCAACCACTTTACACCCATTAGGATGGCTATTATAGCAAACTCAAAATAACAAGTGTTGGCAAGGATGTGGAGAAATTAGAACCTTTGTGCATTGCTGGTGGGAATGTGAAATGGCAGCTGTTATGGAAAACAGTATGGAGATTCCTCAAAAAATTAAATATAGAATTACCATGTGATCCAGCAATTCCACTTCTGGGTATATACCCAAAAGAATTGACAGCAGGGACTCAAAGAGATATTTGTACATCCATGTTCAAAGCAGTATTATTTATAATAGCCAAAAGGTGGAAACAACCCAAGTGTCCATAGACAGATGAATGGATAAACAAAATGTAGTGTATACATTGGAACATGTATAGACATGTTCATACAATGTACACACAGTGGATTGTATGTACATACAATGTATGTGTATGTACATACAAGTACATACAATGGATTATTATTCAACCTTAAAAAGGAAGGCATTTCTGACACCTGCTACAACATGGATGAACCTTCATGACATTATGCTAAGTAAAATAAGCCAGTCACAAAATAATCTAGGTATGATTCCCCTACCTAGAATAGTCAAATTCAAAGAGACAGCAATAGAATAGAGGTTTCCAAGGGCTGTGGAGAGGGGAAAATGGGGAGTTAGTGTTTAGTGGGTACAGAGTTTCGGTTCTGGAAGATGGATGGTGATGATAGTTGCACAGGATGTGAATGTACTTATTGCCACTGAAATGTACACTTAAAAATGGTTAAAATCAAGAATTTTATGTTATGTGTATTTTAACACAATAAAAAAAGAGAATAAAGGGGGAAAAACAACCAACATGTACAGTTATTAGTACTAAAATAGAGGGAAGTACTGAGGATGAAGCAGTTTATTCTGCCTGGGGGGAGAGGCTAGGAAAAGTTACAAGCAGGGATAACAGCGTTCTGGGTCCTGAAAGATGTTTAGTGGATAAAGCAGGATAAGCTCTTAGGCTCTTCTTGATGCCACAAATTATAGTCCTTATGCTGCAATGCTCTCTCTGAGACCCTACACTCTCCCCAGGCTTATTCTGGAATATTCTTTTTTCTATATTTTGTCTATTTCCCATATTTTAGGTTCTCTATTTATCAGAATCCAGATTTTTTAATAGTACTTGACAGATTACAGTGCCCTTTCTCCTACACTATTAACACATTTGAAACTTTAAACAATCTCATGAGACATACGTGAAAGATATTACTATCACTAATTTACAGATCAAGAGTCCAAGATTCAGAGATGTTAAGGGGTCTGGCCAAGGTGATCCAGTTATTACAGAGCCAAGGCAGGAACTAGATCTGTATTTCCTTTCCCTAGTGTGGGTTCTAAATACCACTGGCCTCCTCCCATACTCTGCATCCACCCTGGAGTCTACTAGAAGCCCCACTCTGAAAATGGGCTTTCTTCCCATGGCTTTTAATTCAGCAGGCTCTACTCGCTCCTCTCACTTTGCATTTCTGTCCATCCTGTGCATTTCACACCCGTTACTACTCTTAAGATCCCAGCTAAGAAATATTCCAAATTCTTCCTACTTATGCTCAGATTTCTAAAGTAGGAATTAATCACCTTGTTAAGCCCGAATTTTGGCAAGATAAAAAAAAAAATGTTGGAGAGCCAGCCCCGATGGCGTAGTGGTTACAGCTCGGCACTTTCACCGCTTCGGCGGCCCGGGTTCACTTCCTGGTCGCAGAACCACACCACCCGTATGTTTGTTGCCATGCTGTGATGGCAGCTCACATAGAAGAACTAGAAGGACTTACAACTAGGATATACAACCATGCACTGGGGCTTTGGGGAGGAAAAAAAAATTTAGACAAAGTATTTAAGAGACGTATCTTTTATACTCAAGTTCATAGCAGCATTATTCACAATAGTTAAAAGGTGGAAACGACCCAAGGGTCCATTGATGGATGAATGGATAAACAAATGTGGTATGTACATACAATGGAATATTACTCAGCCTTAAAAACAAAGGAAATTCTGACACACAGGAGAATGTGGATGAACCTTGAGAATATTATGCTAAGTGAAATACGCCAGTCACAAAAGGACAAATACTGTATGATTCCACTTATATAAGGTAACTAGAATAGTCAAATTCATAAAGACAGAAAGTAGAATGGTGGTTGCCAGGGGCACCAATTATTTAATAGTCACAGAATTTCAGTTTGGGAAGTTGAAAAAGTTCTGGAGATGGATGGTGTTGACTGTTGCACAACAATGTGAATCTACTTAATTCTACTAAATCATACACTGAAAGATGGAAGAATAAAAAAAGAGAGAGAGAGTGATATATCTGTAAGCCTAGTTTCAGATACAGCTTCATCTCTTACCAAGGTGCCTTAGAGTAGTGAAGACCCTCATGGCAGTGCATCGCCCTGTTTGTCAGGGAGAGAGAGGGCCAAGGTCTCCAACAAAACGGCCCCTGCCATAGCTAATGTCCCCACCCACCTGCACTCCTGGTTCCATCCCTTGGCATCCTAGGACTGTGCTTTCTCAAACCTCTTTCAGGTGCCTTACATTCTTCACCCACACTTCACAACTCTTCTCAAAACTGTCATCATTTGACCTAGCCTTGTTCCTCTCCTTCATTTCACTGAACACTTTCCTGCTAGTTACACGTGTATCTTTCTTCTTTTCTTCAAAATCTACTCTCCTTAAATCAGGAAACCTGGTCTAGCCTTAACCTCGTGGCAACTTTATTCTCTTGGTGTCTTAGTCCCTTCAGGCTGCTAAAACAAATTATCATAGACTGGGTGGCTTATAGACAACAGAAATTTATTTGTTACAGTTCTGGAGACTGGGAAGTCCAAGATCAATTTGTTGGCAGATTTGACCTCTGTGAGGGCCCTCTTCCTAGTTCGTGGATGGCAGTGTGCTCCCTCTGTCTTCACATAGTGGAAGGGGTGAAGGAGCTCTCTGGGGTCTCTTTTATAAGGGCACTAATCCCATTAATGCAGGCTCCACCCTTATAACCTAATCACCTCTCAAAGGCCCCACCTAATAATACCATCACCTTGGGGGTTAGGATTTCAACATATGCATTTTTGGGGAATACAACTATTCAGATCATAGCAAATGGGTTACCAGTACCCTCCTAGTTGCCAAATCAAATAGACTTTTCTCCATTTTCATCCTACTTGACCTCTCTGTGGCATTTGATAAGGATTCTTTTCTGTTTAGAAGTCTGTCTCCTTCTTGGTGACTGCTGCTGATGCCCACTCTCTCCTCCAGCTACTGTCTTATTTTTCTCCTATGTACTACTGACTTCTCCAACTCTGATTCTTCTCCCTGTCCCTTAACTGTGGTCTTTCCCTTGAATCTGTAGCAACTCTCTGCTACTCTACTGACACTCTTGTGCCCTCTCCTTAGAGCTCATCAGTCCTGTCTGCTTTACCAGATTATGACGTTGACTCCCAAATCTCCATCCCCAGTGCTGACCATCCTCCCTCATTTAATGCCACTCTTCTGCCCTATTTACAGGGCATTTGCATTTTGTTCTGCCATTACCTCAAACTCAGCAGCCAAGGATGTTTACTTTATTTCTTAAACATAGAGTGGGGCGAGAAAAATCTTAGGCACTTCTGGCAGGACTGCCCCACTCTGCTCCATGGTCGTGGGCGGGTCATTTAACTTCTGAGTCTCAGTTTCCTAATTTGGGAAGATATTTATTTCACAAAAACCTTATCCATGGGGACCAAGAAGAAATATCTGAGTGTGAGAGTGTGTGTGTGTGTGTGTGTGTGTGTGTGTGTGTATACCGTAAGGAAGAATTATACAGGTGCCGACAGTGGCAGAAGCAGGGAACAAGAGGCCGTGCCTCCTCATGAGTGCACGATCATTCAGAAATGGAATCTAAGGTGGTCCAGAGATGCTTCTACAGAGCAGGGGAGCTGTCAGGGTGGTTTGCTCCTGCCTGCTGGAGTGGAAGCACATGTAAGACCTGGCATATTCTACCTCGCTCTGTAGAGTAGACTCTTCCTCATCAGAGCTCAAAGAACTAAGATATACTCTGGGAAAGGTGCAATTCTAACGCAGTAGGATAGATATAATCTTATTTTAATAAATACTATCAATACTTTCAATTTTCTCTCATGGTGGTTCTCAACCCCAATACACGGGGGGGGGGGGGGGGGATGACTCTCCTGTTAGTAGTAGTGGCTCTCTGTGGTGATGCTTCTAGGGGAATGCATAAAAATCGGGGGGAGGGGAAGTAAGATGATAGTGAATTCAGGAGAGCATGCACCCTGAGTTGAGAATCACAGCTCTATTACAAGGCAATCTTATGGAAAAGCCCAAATAAATAAATACTGTCGTGCTAATATCATTGAAACACTGAATAACTGATTTTTCATGAGCTCCTATCCACTTGGTAATCAGTGTATTTAACAAAGATACCATCCTTTTGTACTCAATAAAAACTGTTTCTTTTCCAGACCCCATACAGGATTCTAAAGACAAGACAGGATCCCTGCAAGCAAGGAAACTACAATGTAGTAGGAAGGGAGGTCTTACAGACAAGAAACTATTGGAGAACCTCTATGCTCTAGTCTGCATTTTAAAGATGTCAAGCATAGTTGTAGTTCAAAGAACAAAGTCGGTATGGGGTGGGGTGATTGAAGAGCAGTTGTGAAGGTGAATCTTGACCCGAGCCCTGAAGGAAGGGTGAGGCTTGGATAGACGCGGAGAGGAGGAGGCAACAGTAGGAGCAAGAGTGCAGAGGTAGGAAAGAGTTTACTACCAGGAGGGGAGTGAAGGCTTGACCTGTACCCTGTGAGGGCCAAGCAAGAAGGGCAGATGGAGAGGGAGGGCTAAGGGCAGGCAACACCTGAACAAGATGCAGTAAGGAGCCTGCGTGGTTCTTGCACAGAGAAATGATATGACAAAAGAAGCATTTCCAGAAGATTAGAGAGTAAAGGCTAGAATTAAGTGGTAAAATACTATAGGTAGGTAAATATTTTTTGTGTGTGTGAGGAAGATCAGCCCTGAGCTAACATCCGATGCCAATCCTCCTCTTTTTGCTGAGGAAGATCGGCCCTGGGCTAACATCCGTGCCCATCTTCCTCTACTTTATATGGGATGCCACCACAGCACGGCTTGCCAAGTGGTGCATCGGGTGGGCGCCTGGGATCCGAACCTGCGAACCCTGGGCCATCAAAGCAGAATGCGTGCACTTAACTGCTGCGCCACCGGGCCAGCCCCTATAGGTAGATAAATTGACCACTGCAGCAATAATGCAGGGATAAAATGATGAAGGACTGGATTAGGAACAGTGGCCCTAATGATTAAAAGAAACGGATGGATTAAAATGATAGGCCTTTTTCAATATCCACAAATCAATCAATATGATACACCACATTAACAAAACGAAGGATAAAAATCATACGATCATCTCAATAGATGCAGAAAAGCATTTAACAAAATTCAACATCCATTTATGATAAAAACTCTCAACAGGGCCAGCCCCGTGGTGTAGTGGTTAAGTGCGCATGCTCCACTGCTGGTGGCCTGGGTTAGGATCCCGGGTGCACACTGATGCACCACTTGTCAGGCCATGCTGTGGTGGCATCCCATATAAAGTAGAGGAAGATACGCACAGATGTTAGCCCAGGGCCAGTCTTCCTCAGCAAAAAGAGGAGGATTGGCATGGATGTCAGCTCAGAGCTGATCTTCCTCACAAAAAAACTCTCAACAAAATGGGTATAGAGGGGCTGCACCTCAACACAATAAAGCCCACATATGACAAACCCACAGTTAACATCATACCCAACTGTGAAAAGCTGAAAGCTTTTCCTCTAAGATCAGAAAGAAGGATGCCCACTCTTGTCAATTTATTCAACATACTACTGGAAGTCCTAGCCAGAGCAATAGGCAAGAAAAAGAAAGAAAAGGCATCCAAATCAGAGAGGAAAGTAGAACTGTCTCTATTTGCAGATGACATGACATTTATGTAGAAAACCCTAAAGACTCCATCAAAAAACTGTTAGAACTAAGGTGCCGGCCCTGTGGCCTAGTGGTTAAGTTGGGTGTGCTCCACTTCAGTGGCCCAGGTTCAGTTCCCAGACGCAGACCTACACCACTTGTCAGCAGCCATGCTGTGGCAGCAACCCACAGATAAAATAGAGGAAGATTGGCACAGATGTTAGCTCAGGGCAAATCTTCCTCAACCAAAAAGAGAGGAAGATTGGCAATAGATGTTAGCTCAGGGAGAATCTTCCTCAGCATAGCAAAAAAAAAAAAAAAAAACAACCTGTTAGAACTAATCAATGGATTCAGTAAAGTTGCAGGATACAAAATCGATATACAAAAATCAGTTGTGTTTCTATACACTAACAATTAACTATCAGAAAGGGAAATTAAGAAAACAATCCCATTTACAATTGCATCCAAAAGAATAAAATACCTAGGAATAAATTTAACCAAGAAGGTGAAAGATTTGTATACTGAAAACTTTAAGGCATTGATGAAAGAAATTAAAGACACAAATAAATGGAAAGATATTATGTGCTTATGGATTGGAAGAATTAATATTGTTTAAATGTTCATACTACCAAAGCAATCTACAGATTCAGTGCAATCCCTATCAAAATTCCAATGGCATTTTCCACAGAAATAGAACAAACAATCCTAAAATTTACATAGAACCACTAAAGACCTCAAATAGCCAAAGCAATCTTGAGAAAGAACAAAGCTGGAGGCATCATGCTTCCTGATTTCAAGCTATATTACAAAGCTATAGTAATCAAAATAGTATGGTATTGGCATAAAAACAGACACATAGATCAATGGAACAGAATAGAGAGCCCAAAAATAAATCCAGGCATATATGGTCAATTAATTCAAGACAGAAGAGCCAAGAATATACAATGGAGAAAGGATAAGTCTCTTCAATAAACGTTGTTGGGAAAACTGGACAGCCACATGCAAAAGAATGAAACTGGATGCTTATGTTATACTATACACAAAAAATCAACTCAAAATGGATTAAAGAACTGAAACCATGAAATTCCTAGAAGAAAACATAGGGAGTAAGCTCCTTGACATTGGTCTTGGGAATGATTTTTTGGATTTGACATCAAAAGCAAAGGCAGGGCCGGCCCATGGCTTAGCGGTTAAGTGTGCACGCTCTGCTACTGGCGGCCCGGGTTCCGATCCCAGGTGCGCACCGACGCACCGCTTCTCCGGCCATGCTGAGTCATGGCCGTGTCCCACATACAGCAACTAGAAGGGTGTGCAACTATGACATGCAACTATCTACTGGGGCTTTGTGGAAAGAAAAGGAGGAGGATTGGCAGTAGATGTTAACTCAGAGCCCGTCTTCCTCAGCAAAAAGAGGAGGATTAGCACGGATGTTAGCTCAGGGCTGATCTTCCTCACAAAAAAAAAAAAAAAAAGCAAAGGCAACGAAAGCAAAAATAAACAAGTGGGACTATATCAAACTAAGAAGACGCTGCCCAGCAAAGGAAACCATCAACAAAATGAAAAAGTAACCTACAGAATGGAGAAAATATTTGCAAATCATACATCTGATAAGGGGTTAATATCCAAAATATACAAAGAACTCATACAACTCAAGAGCAAAAAAATCTAATTTTTAAATGGGCAGGAGAACTGAAGAGACATTTTTCCAAAGAAGACATACAAATGGCCAACAGGTAAATGAAAAGATGCTCAACATCTCTAATCATCAGGGAAATACACAAATCAAAACCACAATGAGATATCACCTCACACCTGTTAGAATGGCTATCATCAAAAAGACAAGCAATGACAAGTGTTGTCGAGAATCTGGAGAAAAGGGAATTATACGCTGTTGGTGGGAATGTAAATTGGTGCAGCCACTGAGGAAAACAGTATGGAGGTTCCTCAAAAAAATAAAAATAGGGGCCGGCCTGGTGGCGCAAGCGGTTAAGTGCGCAC